TTTTTTTTTTTTTTTTTTTTTTTTTTTTAAACTTCCGTTAACATCAGTGTGACCCTTTTGAAAATATTTTAACTTGCCTTGTGTCCTCTGCAATTGGTACCATTTAAGTATCATGTACTTAAAAAAATTTCATGTTTTTAAAAAAACAATGTGTAAAAACTGACAAATTCTTAATTATTTCCAATGTGTACTTTTTAAAATCACTGCACTAAAATGTACTAAGGTTGGCAAGAGTTGATTTGCATTGTAGACTTTTTTTTTTTTAAGGAAAATATTTGAGAATACATTTTATGAGTTGTCAATGCATAAATAAATGGCCTTTTCTTAAAGAAAAGCTTGCATCTTCCATACTGTACTTTGTCTCTTTTAATTGGTAGAAAACTTGACGTTCATGTTCCTGTATACTTTGTATTTATTTTGTGACCTGTCACTTGTCCCAGAGTTCAATACAATAGGCTGTACTGTTTGAACAGTCCAGTAGAGGGAGTGTAGACATCACACCACCCAGAGCTTGAGTAAATAGTGGTTTGAGATGAAGGAACACACTACTGATAAGGAAGTGTGCCCCAGAGTGTGTGAGTTAAGTGTGCTGATCATCTCAATTGTGTACATGGTATGAAATGTTATTTTGGGTACAAACTATAGCATTTCTTTACTCATATAGCTTATAGGTTGCACACAGCCTTGAATTAATTTTTGTATTTTTATTTTTTATTTTTGTCTCTTGTCCTTATCTGGAAAATGTCAAACATCTAGTTGCACTGGCTAAATTTTAATGTTTACCTGCTATACACTGTTACCCAGCTGTGCCTCCCAGGACAGGAAAATGGGTTATTAAACCTTAGCCAACTCTGTGTACACTTGCTAAGAACTCCCTAAATCATTTTCATGTTTATTTTCACCATTTACCAAAACTATAGACAGATGATTGCAAATGAATATACATGTTAAATCTAAAGTATTATCAGTGCTGGGCATGGAGAGGCTCAGCGTTTGTCACGTTTCAACCTTGTGTCACAGTGTTCCCGGGTGAGGTTGTCTAATTAAAGGTAGATGGCAAATTAATTTAACTATTAGACTGCTCTTGGGAATCACTTGAAAGGAAAACGACAGCTTCATACGTGCTACAGGAATGTGAGCAGGTGGAGGTGTGGTTGGTTATGCAGGAGTGTTGGACAGCTCTGTAAATTGAAAGCTGATGAAAGAAGGAAAGGCTCATTAAAGGAGACAGCAGCTGCCCTCCTCCCCCTTCTCCACCAGCCAGCCACTGGACCCACGCACAGCCTGCCCAATGTTAAGCCTAGCCTGTCCTATGTCTCTGTCCTCTCCTTCTGCATGGTGCTGTCTCCCTGTGCGCACAAGCCATAATGAAGCTGTCAGTGACTTCACACACATGCCACTGAGCTGTTTTCATATAGCAAACACAGACATACGCACAGGCACAGAGGCGTGTCTGAAAACACACACACAGAGAATACACTGGTGGGAAAGCTGCGGATGGATGAACATTTTCTCCTTCCTCATCTTCTGTCATTTTCAAAGTCCCAGTGGTTTATGATTGGAGCTCTCCATCTCTCTGTTTGCTGTAAAGGTTGACCTTATCAACGTACTCCATGACAAGCATACAGCGGGACACATACACAGACACTTTTTGGTTTAAAGCTGGTCAATTTTCTGACAAAATGAAATGCAAATGCAAGCGGTGGCATCTTGTATTTTATGTGAGTGTACATGCGCGCATCTGCCTTTCTTTTTTCTCGGAGAAAACATCTAGGATTTGGATATTGAGTATTCATGGTACATGTCTATTTCAGCTTGGTAATTTATAACTCAATTTCCAGTGTGCAGTGATGCGCGTCATACCTCCAAAACACCAAACAAAGCCCAAACCCAATTGTATTTCAAAGCAATTAGGGTGTCCACTGAGTTGTGAACGGCCCACGTTGCAATGGCTCAGGGCCCGTGTGATATTTTTAATTGTTAATTTTCTGTCACATTAGTCAACTTCACTGCCTTTGGACAGGTGACCAGGCTCCTGTAGCCAACACATAAAATGACACAGAACATGTTCTTTGCTTTCTGATGCAGTTTGGGTGAGGGTACTTTTATGCTTAAGGGGAAAAGGTTCTGCTATATGTGATGTACATCATATTTACAGCTATTTTATGGTACAAATCTTTCTAATGCTTTTCAATATGCATGGTCAACATTAGTATTATTTTACGACTCTAAATTATTAGCTCATTTAGACTTTCACCTGAAGCCACCACAGGGAATTGCTTCACCTCCTTGACTGTAGAAAAGCCAACAATGGCAAAATCTATGAGAGCAATTAGCCCGCGTAACTCTCACCGTGCCCCTTTTGCTTATTTTTGCACCCATCTTGTCTTTCCATCACTCATTCCTTTCACTGCCTCTTCATTTTACTCTATTTTCTCAGCTGTCTGTTGAGAAGTGAGGTCTGGATCTGACTGCCCTTCGTCTCTGCTTTCTTTGATTTTGTGCTGTGGGGGTCAAAGGCTATGACTTGCATTGTATTTGTAATTATTACCACTGAAGTGCTAATGCATACAGCATCATTAAAAGTCAATGCATCTCTCTCTCTCTCTCGCTCTCTCTCTCATACACACGCATTCGTTTTGCACACACTCTGCACATCGCCAGCCATTTACCGGCTAAAATACGATCCATGCACAGATAAATGTCACAGGGCCATCTATCTGGGAGTGTTAAAAGTCGGCTAATGGAGATGACATATTAGCAGCCCAAATGACTGCCATAAAAACTCCCACCATACCTTGCAGCACTGCCTGGCCACTGTGACTGCAATAGGATACAAGACTGGCACTGCAAAAGAAGGAAGAATGGAGGGTGATGTCATATCTGGATATAATTCTTTTGATTCAGTAAATCCGATCTTTAAAGCCCCGTCTGGGAGAATAACACCAGCAAACATATTTGCTCTGTGCAAAATCATATTACACACACTTCAGATGTTAATGGCCTCTCACCTTTGACCTTTTGTGGAGTAATTATGCGCCAGGTCAGCTTTAGTGTTTGTACGTGTCAATAGTAAAGCCGCCTCTGCAATCAATACGAAGATCCTCCACAGGTAAACGCGATCACCTCCTTTACTCCTCCTTCATCCCTCCTATCTCTTTATTAATTACCCTTCTCTATCCATGCGTGTCTTTCTCTCTCTGAGTGAATGGAGCAGTTGTAATTGCTTCTCTCTGGAGCAGTTAGAAGCAGCACAAAGGAACCGTATAGAAACCACATTTGCATTCAAGATGAGCTGAGATGGAGAGGAGGGAGGGCGCGCTGCCCTCCTGCCCTATACTGAACAGCTCTACTTACGCTCTCTCTTTCTTTTTTCCCCTCCTCTCCTCTATTGTCTCCCTCTCTCCATCCCTCCCTCCACCTTATCAGCTCCCACCACCACCCCCACCTCCGCCCATTCGCAGCATGGTTCCCCTCGCATTGTCTTTCCAGAGAGTTCCAAGGTCGACGTGAGCTTGCTCATCAGAGCAGGGTATTGTATGATTAGTGTTGGTATGGATGAGCTAATTTGTGCGAGGGAGTGTGTGCATAATTGTGTGTGTGCGTGTGCATTTCCTATGTGAGCATACTCGTATAATAATATGTGGCTGTGTGTGGCAGTATTTCTAATCCCTGGTACAAAAAAAGGAGGAGGGGAGGCTGTAATTAATAACTCAAAAGCTCGGAATTGCAATTTTTTATAACCACCAATATCTCACTAACTCTCAGACCTATACCATCACTCTCAGTCACTCCTGTGGTGTGCGCGCACACACGCACCAACTCCTGAGGGCTCTTCTTTTCCAGCTTGATAAGCATTTCTCGTTTGTTTCAGTGTTTTGATCAATACAGTTAAAACGCCAAACCAAGCATAATTAGGTCTGCGATGGCTCCCACTGTGACCGAATAGGCCTCACCTAGGGAGGTGCTCACCATTATCATCATCACTGTGTGTGTGTGTATGCGTGTATGCTCATACCACACACAGCGTGATCTAATAGAATTGACAAAGTGCACATCAGGACGTAGATTAAAGGAAAACTCTGAGCTATAGGTTAATTTTAGCAGGTGATGGAGTTTCCCATTCACGGTGCTTTCACTCACCTCCATCTTCATTCCCATAATCATTTAGACAACCTTAACAATGCATCTCTGCCAACGGGTTCATTTCAATATGTTCCGGGGCCACTTCAATCATTTTTTTATTGGTTTATTTACTCAGAACGATACATAGATGGAGACTGGAGAGATCATAAATTGAACACAATTACCATTATGCACAGTGAAGTGGCTCTCCTTTGTGTCATAATCCAGGGTGAAAACCTTTGTGAAAAATCCATCTCAGACCTTAAAGACCACTTTTAGGAATTTGGTGCGTATCCACCCCCAACATCCACTAAATTTACCCCTCATTAATAGAAAAAGTACAACTTTATATGAGCTACATTTATCCAAATTTTGTGGAGAATATTCAACATTTGATAGCCCCAAAATACTAAAGCCCCATTCTGCTTCTGCATTATCCTTTTATCATCTACAATGTTAGATGGTGTACTTTTTTTCTCACCCAACAGATATTTGATATTTTGATTTTCATCCCTGTGGCAGGTGCAAAAGTGATAACACGAATTAAACTACTATAAAGGTTAAAAGGATCACAGCTCCTCTTTCACTCTGCCTTTGCACATTTGAATCAATTGTAATGAAGCAGGACAAGGTTGTAGATGACATCCCCATTATCCTTTATCGCTTTCTGCTCTTTCGGGGTAAGGAAAAAAATGTACAGTATGTCTCCAGGGTCACTGCAAATGCTCATGGAAAACTGTGAGCAAGGGCAGATGATAGAGACAGAGGTTACATCAACAT